ATGGAGACATGGTTCCTGCCTTGAAGAGCCTATGGTCAAAAGCTTCAGTCTCTGTGGAGCCACATGGATCTCTGCCCTTGCAGAGCTCCATTGAAGTTAATTGGGCTGTGCATAGGCACAAGGGTACACCTGTGCAGATCAAATTTCAGGATCAAGACTTTAGTAGATGAGTTCATTCAAAGGATGGAGGATACAATGGAATTTTTAGAGAAACCCCTCTTTTTACTGTTTTAGGCCCTGATTTTGCAACAGACGATATGAGTTTGGACCTCTGTTCCCATGCGGAGCCCCATTGAAATCAGTAGTCTTGGGGCCTAATCCAAACCCAATTAAAAGACTCCTGTTGACTTTTATGGGCTCTGAATCAGGTCTTTAAAGAGCAAGAATGACCTATAACTTTGTATTCTTTAAACTGAACAAGAACCTGAAAATGGGAACTTCTGGTATTATGCCTTTGCCAATCAGGTAGAGAGCAGTGCACTGTGATGGCTAACCCACTGCACAACTCACCACCTTCTGCAGCTAGGAGTTGTGGGAAGGTGGAGTGGATCACAGAGCATCATGGGTACAGGCTCAATGTCCCTTGATGCAGTTTTTTCTGTCCCATCATTCCATGGATTTCTGTCTCTTTCGTGCCATTTTTCAATGACCCTTGTTTACTATGCACCAGCCATCTCTGCCTGAAAGGATGTATCCTGCCTGCATTGCTCTCTACTGTTGCGGTCATTGTTATGAACACAACACGGCTGATCATGCAGTATATCATGAGCTCCGAATCTGAACAGGAATCAGTGGTGCCTGCTCTGCTGCGTGCCATGGAAAGAAACAACACCAGATTACTTTTGGCATTCACGGAGCAGCTGCACATAGTGGACCGTTGCTATTGGGCTCTGGAAACAAGCACTGAGTGGTGGTATTGCGTCATTATGCAGATATGAGATGACAAGCAGTGGCTGCAAAACTTACAGATGTGCAAAGCCACCTTCTTGGAACTGTGTGCAGAGCTTGCCCCAGCACTGCAGCGCAAGGACACCAAAATGAGAGCTGCCCTCTTGGTGGAGAAGCACGTGGCAATCACTGTGTGGAAGCTGGCAACTCCAGACTGCTACAGGTCAGTCGCAATCAGTTTGGAGTCAGGAAGTCCACCGTTGAGGTTGCGTTCATGCAAGTGTGCAGGGCCATTAATCGTATCTTGCTACGAAGGACTGTGACTCTTGTAAATGCGTGTGAAATAGTAGATTCCCTAACTGTGGCAGGGCGATAGATGGCATGCATATCCCAATTTTGGCCATGGACCATCTTATGATGGAGTACATCAATAGAAAGAGGGCACTTCTCTATGGTATTGCAGGTGCTTATGGATCACCGGTAGCATAGCAGGGGCTATGGAAATGATACAAGGAAATATGTCCTCAGCACAAGGGTCGTTTCACTGATATCAACACAGGGTGATCAGGGAAGGTACATGATGCTGTGATGTTTCATTCCATATTCTTTATAAAAATATGCTTATGATATGAATATGACATAACTGAGATGTACTTTATGCAAGATGGGTCTTGTAAAATATTGGAAAGGTTATACTTTACTAAATGTGATTATCCGATTTGTATGCCTGTATCATTTCTGTATCTGAAGTTAGGAATATTGACTATGTATCCGTATTTCAACTATGCTACTTTGTGTGATGCCCACTGCTATCACTTCAGGTACAACAATGGAAAAGCCAGACAGGGCTGACGGCCCCTCAGTAAGGACAATGGACTATGAAAAGGCTGTGCAGATGCTCCATGCTGCCACTGACTCATGGATGCTACAGAGTCAGGTGGTCTTGTCACCTGATACTAAACATTATCTGGGACTTCTTGTAACTTTCCACTGGGAGGGAAGGGCCTCAGGCCGGGCCTCTGATACCAAAGGTTATGTCTCAGGGCCTCATCTTACTACAGTAGTCTGCAAATCTGCCAATTGCCACTGTGTATTAATTCCAGCAGCAACCACCACGTGTAGGAAATAAAGATTGATTATCTTTGACAGAGTATTTTTTTATTAAGTAACAATAAGCACAAAGAAAATGCTTGGTTGAAAGGGATATAACACTGAAGGGTGCTCTCCTGATGGAGGCTCTCATAGCTGTGTGTAACTCCAGCTATCATTTGGAAGCTGTGATCAGGGACTGCAGCATCTCTGTTTGCTCCTCCATCACTTTTATCATCTGCTCCTGGACCACTAAAATTCACTCCTGCCTATCTATTTTAAAATTTTCATTAGCTGACTCTCTCCACGCCCTTTGTTCTCGCTCTGTGGTGACAGAGGATTGGAGCACCTCCCAAAACATGTCCTCCTTGCTCCTCCTCAGTAGCTTCCTTAGCTGGTGGAGGTGCTCTGCTGGTGTGTAGGGAGTTCCCACATTTGCAGAAGCACAAGAAACAATAAACAGAAGCATGATTGTTAGTGCACTCACCACATCTAATCATAAAATAGCCCTCTTTCTCACTGTCCTTGGGCAAGCATACAGTTCAGCAAATGCTCTAAACATGGTGAGTCTGGCCGGGAGGCAGGAAGAGGGTTTGAAGATGGAGCAAAGATTCATAGATTCATAGATTCTAGGACTGGAAGGGACCTCGAGAGGTCATCAAGTCCAGTCCCCTGCCCGCATGGCAGGACCAAATACCGTCTAGACCATCCCTGATAGACATTTATCTAACATACTCTTAAATATCTCCAGAGAT